GCGGATCTTTTGGCCCAGTGTCTGAAGAGTGAAGTCCTCTGGGCTTGGAATAACAGGAACCTGGGAGGAACCTGCTCGAGGGTTTGGATTACAAACACATTCGCTCCTAAGTGAAGACATCAGACTGGTTCTGTAAATAAGATTGGAGGGAGTTCCAGGCAGAAGATGGGGCTAGAAATGGTATTTGACAGATCTGATGACCCTGTGAAATGGGAGGGAGAGGAAAGAACTAACGAAAACAGAGTCTGGCAGGAACCCCTGAGTTCTGACCGAAAAACACAGTCACTTCTCATCTCCAGAGCAGATTGGCTCTTCCACCCACTCTTCCCCTTTAGGGGAACCAAAAGAACTTGGGGATGAACAAGCATGCTGTGGATTCTAGGGGCTCTGGATCATAAAGTGAGGTACCACCAAGGAACTCTGGGACAGCCTTCCGCTTTGGGTCTTCAGCCCTCGTCCACTCAGCCACTCAGCGCTCCCCTGTTCTCCTGTTCTGTAGCCCCAACCAGGAAGCTGACCATGTGTTTTCTCCCTTTAGTTACACAGATATCATTGACGTTGTCCAGGCCCTGCAGACTCACCCAGACCCAAATGTCAAGTCCTACTTCAGCATTGGTGCCGTCACAGTGTGTGTGGAGCCCCTGAGCTGCTACATGGAGCACAGGTAGACACTTAGGACCACCTCCAGCCCACGATGTGGTGTTGAAGAGAACTAGCCATTTTCCCTCCCCACCAGAATGAGACAGGCTTTACACATGTTTGGTTTGTGGAACACATCGGCCTGCGGTGTATGCAGTAAGGACCCCATGACTCTGTTTGCATGAAGTCCTAAAAAGGCGCAGAGCAGAATAAACCACCGCCTGTGGTGGTTGAATTAGAATGACCTGCCACAGGCTCATGTCTTAGAATGCCTGGTCGTTCCCAGTTGATGGAACTGTTTGGAACAGATTAGGAGGTGTGGCCTTGTTGGAGGAAGTGTGTCACTGCCTTTGAGGTTTCAAAATACTAGAGTGATTCACAGTACTCTGCCTTCTAGTAATTCACCTCTGCCTCCTAGTTTTATATCAATATGTACTTTTGGATCAAGCTCTCAGCTGTTCCTGCCACTTTACCTTTGTTCCTCCATCATGGACTCCAGCCCTCTAAGGCCACTTGCCAATTAAACACTTTTTTTAAAAAGATTTGGTTTATCACAGCAATGGAAAGGTAGTTAAGGCAACATACAAGTCCATGTGTTCTGAATACTTGTCTCCTTCACTTTTTACATCAGCACTATTGGCCCCTTTTCATGTCATAGGTTTCGTGTCCAGCCTTGTGATAGGATGTGATGCCTTGTGGGAAATCTTTGTGAATTGACATGGGCTTCAGTGAGAAAGGAGGGAGGGCCCAAGAAGGGCCTAAGTGATTGCACCCAAAGTCACAGGCACTTAGAGACACAGACACTTCCAGGAATGTATGTGCTGTGCAGCAGGTGATTGAGTGGCTTATATAATTACACACACGCGCGCACGTGCGCGCGCGCACACACACACACACACACACACTCGGAAGTCAAAGCCTCTGGTATGGCTAGCCCTTCCTTTGTTCCTGGTCTTTTGGTCTTGCTGGTAGCACATGAGAGTTCTTCCTAGGAATCTTAAGAAATTATGAGAGTCAGGAAGGGAACTGGATTCACAGCCTAAAGTAGGAGTTACCAAATTTGGTTCACTTGGTATTTGTCCAGCTATTTTATAAAATTAATTAAAGAATGAAGCTTGTGCTCCTAAGCATCTAACTTGCTGGTCTGGTAACCATGGAGCTCTGTGGACCAGATAGACCTAGACCTTGCCTCAGGCCCACTGTGTGGATGCCTGGGCAAGATGCTCAGCCTCCTTTCTAACCCTCCACCTACTCCTCTCTTCGTAGTGATAACAGCAAAATCATGTCTAACTGCTTGTATGTTGTTCATACTTATGGGAACTTGATAAAACTCATTAGTGGTAGCTCCCTTCTCTAAAAGGAGCATTATAATAGTTGGGAATTTTAATTTTTTCTTATTTTAATTATCTTTTTTTTTTTTAATTTTTTAATTTTCGGGACAAGATTTCTCTGTGTAGCCCTGGCTGCCATAGAACACACTCTGTAGACCAGGCTGGCCTCGAACTCAGAGAGAGCCTCCTGTCTCTGCCTCCCAAGCGCTGGGATTAAAAGTATGCCACTACCACCCGGCTGCCATGTAGGAATTTCTATGGAACATGAACTTCAGTGCAAAACTATGAATGTCTTGGATAACTATAGGTCTCAATGCTCAGGACCACCTGACTAATTATCAGTCAGCTTTATGCTTTTGTGGGAAATAATGATGACTCTGAAATAAATGGTTTTGAAATACATTTTTTTCCTCCTTAGATTTCTCTTTCCTAAATGTCTTGACCAGTGTTCACAAGGTAAGCAGTATGTTTTACTTCCTGTTTGTATGCCCGTCACATTCTGTTCAGAAGTAGGCTTTTCTCTGTGCTGTTACCTTTCTGGAATCTACAATACAATACAGAATTGGTCCAGGGAAAACTTTGACAACTTCCTTGTGTCCTGCTGGGTAGTCACACATCCTCAGGAGCTTTTCTTTTGATGCTGTGGTTCCCACAGCAGCAGCACCCCTGCCCTGGCCTTGCTGCTGATGAACAGTAAATGGAACCTCTGGATCAGCAAGGTCATTAGGGGTCCTGGAGATCCAGAATAAATTATCAATTCCTGCAGTGGTGCTGAGATGCTCAGCGCTATCAGGGGAGATGTGGGGGGTAGTGGGGAGCTGACTGGGCATATACTTAGGGGGGTGAGCTTCCTGAATCACCACAGCAAGCAAGCATCTGACAGAGGAAAACAGCTTGGTATCCTCAGCATGCTTGTGCCCTGCTGATCCCATTGCCGGGCCACAGGGACAACAAAAACAATACCCCAGAGCTGTCTTGGCAGACAGCTGAGCTGGCTGCTGCCCAGGCATGAAGCTGAGGACTCAAGTCTTGTCGAACTCGGTAGACCAGGGAGTAGCAGTCCCCCCTTGCTGTCTTGAGACAGAATCTCATGTAGTCCCACCTGGCTTCAAATCACTAAGTCACTATGTAGCACAGGCTAGCCTTGAACTCCTTACCCAAGTGCCAGGTTAGTATAAGCTGTCATGCCTGCCTTCAGCAGCAGCAGGGTGGAATAAAGGTTGTCTGGGTCCACCCCTAATGCCTAATCCAAGTAGATTTAGATTTTGTGGAGGTTGGGTTGGTAGGATCTGTTGACAAACTAGTTGTAGGGCCTTAGTTGGAAAAGAGACACTCAGAATGCTTGTTTTCTAGTTTAGAGGATTAGGAAAGCTGAAGATAGCTGTCTTTGAATAGAAAGCACAAGAGATACAAAGTGAGTTCCAGGACAGCCAGGACTGTTTTATAGAAAAACTGTCTCAAACCCCCGCCCACCCAAAAAAAGAAAGCACAAGAGAGACACTGGAACCGGAGGTAATATGGGAGGCTTTCTGGTCCTTGGTTCTAGGCTCCGAAGCCATAATCAAAGACACAGGCCGGGACAGATACTCAATATCCAGATGTGGAGTTGAAAAGGTTAGAAGGCCAGAGATGTGAAGGGGATTGGAAAATCCTGGAGACTGAAAGGTGAAATAGGAATTAACAGTATTTCAAATATCAAAGACAGAATAATCAGTTATGTTTGTTTAATATTGCAGAGACCTCAAGGGAAGGATGATTTAAAAAACAAAGCAATTAAACAAACAAAAAACATTAGTTTTCCAAGTGCAAAGGGCACCAGTGACCTCAACATGAAGGTCTGAATAGATAGGTCAGAACCCAAGTCAAATCTGTGTTAGTACAGCAGGTGAATCTGTATAGAAGCCAGGCATAGTAAGTCCCAGGCCAATCTGTGACTGTATAGTGAGACCCTGTCTGAAAAAACAAAGAATTGCCATTTCTGTCATCTAGTAGTGGGAACATCTGGGGTGCATAGTGAGATTGTCTTCTGTGTGTGCCTGTGCGTGTGGGGGTGGGGTGAGGTGGAGGGGTGTGGGTGTTTGACACAGGGTATTGCTGTAGCCCTGGCTGGCTTGGAATTCACAGAGACCCTCCTGCCTCTGCCTACTAAGTGCTGGCGTTAAAGGAGTGTACCACTACACCTGGCTGAGACCTCTGTCTGTCTGTCTTTCGCTTTCTCTTTCGTTTTTGGCTTTTTGAGACAGACACAGCTTCTCTGTGTAGCCCTGGTTGTCCTTGGACTTGCTCTGTAGGCTGTCCTTGAATTCATAGAATTCTGCCTCCTGAATGCTGGGATTGAAGGTGTGCAAAACCCTCGGGTTTTGGTTTTGGTTTTTTGTTGTTGTTATTGTTTTTTAAGCTTTTGTTCATTTGTTTCTGAACTATTTGCTGAAAAATAGGAAATAAGCCTGAGGGCTGAAAAGGCCACTAGTCTTGATAGAGGAAGTCTGAAAGATTCTAGAGCTAACAGTTGGGCAATGATGACTTATTCAGACAGTGATAACTTCCAAGGAATAGAAGGAAGTGTTTGCTTGGCTGGTAGTACTTGCTTACACAACTGGACTTGGTAGCTCACACAATCCGAGCACTCGGGAGGCTGGAGCAGGAGAATTATCACAAGTTCCAGGCTTAGCTACAGAGTAAGATCACATCTCAAAAAATAAACAAAACCACCAGGCCAGCGGTGGCGCACGCCTTTAATCCCAGCACTCAGGAGGCAGAGGCAAGCGGATCTCTGTGAATTTGAGGCCAGCCTGGTCTACAGAGTGAGTTCCAGGACAGCCAGAGCTACACAGAGAAACCCTGTCTTGAAAAATAAACTAAGAAGCAAACACAAAACAGATGAACCTACAGAGACGTGCTGACCTTCCTTGACCCTTCCTCCTTCTGGTCAGTGTTGGAGCCACCTCCGTGACACTGTCCCCTCAGCACCTGCCCCTTTTGCTTTTTGAGGCCTAAGCACAGATGGTAGGTTCCCCAGACAGAGAGTCTTGAGGAAATGATCTGTCTTCATCATCCATGAATCTGGAGCCGCTCTGGGCCGCTAGCTCAGCCAGAAAACCCCTTTAGTGTCCATCCTTCCAGGATGAGGCAGGCAGGCTGGACTCCTTTGGGCACTTGGTAGTACATTTCATTAGTGATCCCTTCCAGGACATTGTTCAAAGCCAGTTTGTCTCAGGGTTTGTACTTGCTACTGTGTGGGCAGATGGCATTATGGTCATAAGTTGGTTTTTTGGTTTGTTTGTTTGTTTGTTTATTTTTGAGGCAGGCTCTGTGTATCCCTGGCTACCTAGAACTTAGTGTGTAGACACCAAGCTTACCTCACAGAGATCCACCTGCCTCTGCCTCCCCAGTGCTGGACTCCGACCTAGCTGGTCTGGCTCACCTTGGATGGGCAGGAGATTAAAAACAAAAACAACGAGTGTCTCTCTCCTCGTTAGAGATTCAGTGGCTGTCTTGGAAGTGGGATCTGCCACCAGGAGACAAGTACTTCATGTCCTGAAGGAGCTTATTACCTCTTTGCTCCTGTTCGTGACTCAGGCTCCCAGGTTCTCCCCCAGCCCCAACAACCAGGGACCATTTTACAGTGATAAAAGGACTGTATTGTAGTCTGAGGTGATATGTCTTATATAAACCTGGGTGATAGGGAACAGTTTCTTTTCTTACTGTTCTGTACAGTAATGCTTTAATGATAGCAAGGGCTCATATTATGTTTAGCAAGGCTCATTATAATGCTGACTTAAAGCAAAGTGAAGGTGTTTTAACTCCCAGAGTTTGGAAGTGTATATAGAGAAAAGAAGGCAGTTTCGTTTATTCCTGGGCTGCTGAAAGTCTTTAGACTAGTCTGGGGTAGCCAGACAGCAAAGATGTTTCTCTGTTCTTGGGAACAGGTCAGGTTAGACTGCCTGCCTATAGCCCTGCTTGTAACCTTGGTCAGTCTTGGCGTTCACTTTTGATACAGAGCAGAAAGAAACTCCTGACCCCAGTAAGGTGGAACTCCTCACTATGGCCTGTTGGCCTGTGTGCCAGACAGTGGCTCCTCTTGCCTCGCAGATGGCATTTCCTCTTGGCAGGTGGCAGTTTACATAGCTGGGCTGAGGAATGCGGGAGATAATCCTCTTGCTCTCTTGCTGTGGAGTGAAGCCCTTTTTCTGTACCCAGTTCCTGACCTAGACTCCTACCCTACATGTCCATACAGCACATGTATAGCAAGCAGAATATTTTAGATGGGGTCCATCTAACTGAGCCCCACAACCTGGGCAGGAAAGGGGGCAGGCCAGGACTGTGCCTGTGACCCTGGTATTCACTGCTGAGAAGGGCAGGTTTGTACTAGTTGGACTTGCCCTTTTGGCTAAGGAAATATCCTAGTCTCTAGGCCTCTGTAGATCTCTCCTAGCTTTTCCTGGCTCCTTACTACAAGATCCACCATATTGTTCTTTTCTTCTGCCCATGGTAACCTCACAGTCACCTTACAGGGTCTGGCTCCCTTGTCTGCCAGTCCTGGAATGTCTAAGACTTCAGGGATTCTATCTGCTTGCCTGTGGTGCCACATTTTGGGCATGTCCTTATGACCTCGACCTACTCTGTTCCCAAGGGTTCCAGTGGTTTCCTGTGGCTGCACCAAGGTGTGGGGATCTGGCATCAGGTTTTGTGGGCCAGCCCTTGATGTTCTCTGCAACCTCCACAGTGACCTCCAAATGAAGTGTCAACACAGGGGTGCCCCAGTGTGCCCTCATTCCTTAGCACTGGCAGAGGAAAGTCTGTCTTAACATGACAGGTTTGGGATGGAAGGGGAATATGAGTAGCCTTTGGAATGTGAACCTTTTCAAATAAAAGAAACAGGCTGAAGAGATAGCTCAGCGGGCAAGAGCACTTGCTGCTCTTCATAGGACCCAAGTTTGGTTCCCAGCACCTATTTGGTGCTGGCTCACAACCATCTGTAACTCCCCAGATAAACTCCTTCTGGCTTCCATGAGCACTGCACACATGAAATACAAACAAACACACATACACATAAATTTAAAAGTTAAAAGAAAGGCCAGAGAGATGGCTCACCAGTGACTAGCACTTACTGTTCTTATAAAGGGACCAGGTTCAGTTCCCAGAACCCGCATGGTGACTTCCAACCTCCTATAACTCCCAATTCCAAGGGATCTAACATCTGGCTTCTTTTGGGCTCCTGAATACACATGGTGCACATTAATTCATGTAGGGGTATACACATAAATAAAAATCTTTAAAAATATAGAACCAGAAAGCTGAGAGGTGGTGGCGCACACCTTTAGTCCCAGCACTCAGGAGGCAGAGGCAGGCAGATCTCTGTGAGTTCGAGGCCAGCCTGGTCTACAGAGCAAGTTCCAGGACAGTCAGGACTACACAGAGAAATCCTGTCTTATAAAACCAAAAATAAATAATAAATAAATAAAATAAAACCAGACATGGTGGCACATGCTTTTAATTGTAGCACTTGGGAGGCAGAGACAGGCAGATCTCTGTAAGTTCAAGGCCAACCTGGTCTACAGAGTGATGATAGTTCCAGGCTAGCTAGGGCTACAAAGTGAGACCCTGTCTCAAAAAACCAAATAATTAATTAAAATAAAATAGATGAAACGGTAGGTATGGAAGTGCATACCTATAACCCCTTCACTTCATAGGTGGAAGGAAAAGAATTTCAAAGTTAGCCTCAACTGTAGAGCAAACTCAAAGCCAACCTGAGTTTGCACTAACAGATACTAAGAACAGGACTAGTATCTCAGAACCTAAAGGTTAAGAAGCAGGTTTGTGCTCAGTCCTAGGGTAAGTGATGCCTAATTTTTGATAGTCTTTGGCTGTATACATATTACAGAAAACTTTCTGTGAGTCTTTTTCTCATTGTCTTGTGTTACTGTCAGCAGTTAAGAGTCCTGGCTGCGAGCCTGATGGTAGCGGCAGACTCCTTTAATCCCAGCACTCAGGAGACAGAGGCAGGTGGATCTCTGTGAGTTCAAGGCCAGCAGAGTGAGTTCTAGGACAGTCGGACAGTCAGACAGTCAGGGCTACACAGAAAAACGCCGTGGGCGGGGCGGGGGCGGTGGTGGTGCTGCTCTGGAGAGGACTTGGGTTGGATTTCCAGCACCTACATGGTGGCTCACGATCATCTGAAACTCCAGGTCCAAGGGATCCAACACCCTTTTTCAACCTCTGCCGGCACCAGGCATGCACATACAAGCACGCAGGTGAAATATTCATACATGTAAGTTAAATAAGTCTTTTTAAAATATGAAAAGCAAAATATTCTTGAAGCAGAAATTTACACATAGAGTGGATATTTTGTTTATTTTTTAGTTTATTATTTTTACTGTTAGCCATTTTTTTAGGAGTTCTATTCAGAGATACACAGTGAAATATTTTTGGATGAAATATTTAGATTTATGAGATTGACTTAAAAAATCATCCAGTAGGCACCAAGACCTGGGCCCCTGTGTCTTAGAATCCTGACTTGGGTAACGAGAGAATGAAGAAAGAACAGATAAACATACAGAAAACCTGGGGTTAGGTGGCCATGAGTTGTGGCGCAGATGCACTAGCAGCCAAGAGACTCAGATCTTTTACTGTATACAGCTGGAGGAGGAGGTGGGTTGGTAACCTTTGAAGGAACACTGTAGAGAAGCAGTTTGAGTCTGCAGTCAACTGGTTTTAGTTGATGAGTAATCTTTTGTAACAACCATACTTGGGCCAGAGGAAGACTTTGCCATTCCTCTGAACCTAACCCACAGAAGGCCTGCCATTCTCTTGGGTCTGAGGCATTGGGATTCTTGGCATGGCCATGTTCTTGTCGCTGACACATTCACTCATGACTTCATCAGCTCCCCACAGTAGAGGGAGGGGCGAGAGATGGACAAGGGTAAGGTATAGATAGATAAAATATAATTAGCTAAGTATTGATAATTCTCTCTCTCTCTCTCTCTCTCTCTCTCTCTCTCTCTCTCTCTCTCTCTGTGTGTGTGTGTGTGTGTGTGTGTCTGTCTGTCTGTCTGTCTGTCTGTCTCTCTCTGTCTCTCTCTGTCTGTCTGTGACAGGGTTTCTCTGTGGAGCCCTGGCTGTCCCAGAATTCACTCTGTAGACCAGGCTGGCCTCAAACTCAGAGATCACCACCTCTGCCTCCTGAGTGCTGGGATTAAAGGCTTGTACCACCATGCCCAGATAGTATTGATAATTTTTTTTTAAGATTTATTTATTATGTACACAGTGATCTGTCTACATGTATGCCTGCATGACAAAGAGGGCACCAGATCTCATTATAGATGGTTGTGAGCTGCCATATAGTTGCTAGGAATTGAACTTGAGACCTCTGGAAGAGCAGCCAGTGCCCTTAACCTCTGAGCCATCTCTCCAGCCCCTTGATAACTCTTAAAACCAGAGGATAGGGCTATAATTTTCTAGTTTGGTACCTATTTGAATGGTTTTCACTTTATTTTATTCTGTTAGTGTTTTGCCTGCATGTATATATGTTTGTGCACTGTGTGCTTGTCTACTGATGGTTGTGAGCCGTCATGGGTGCTGGGAACCAAACCTGGGTCCTGTTCAAGAACAGCAAATGATTTTAACCACTGAGACATCTCTCCAGCCCCCTATTTGAAATTTTCACAATACAGTATAAATAAAAATTATTGAATAGCTGACAGATCTCTTATAAACCTAAGGCCAGCTTGATCTGCATAGAGCATTCGAGGACAGCCAAGACTACACAGAGAAACCCTGTCTCAGAAACCAAAATAATAATAATAATAACAATTTCATTGAATAGCAAAAAATGCAATTGAAGAGGTTCTAGATTTGTTTCAGTTGGTAGCATGCTTGGTTAGCATGCTTGAAGTCTTGGGTTTGATCTCTAACACCCCATAAACCAGTGCATGCCTATAATCCAGAACTCAAGAGGTAGATAGAGGCAGGAGGATCAGAACTTGAAGGTCATCCCTAGTTACATCCTGAGTTTTAGGATATCCTGGTCTAGACCCTGACCCCACCTCCCAAAAAAGCATTAATCTTATAGCAAAAATGGTCTATATCGATAAAAACTTTATAAACTATATTTATAACTGTAAAAATAGGTTTGAATTTTGAAGTATAGTTATGCTAGAATAGGTAATAACTTTGCTGATTACTAAATTCTCCATAGTTTTGTGAATTTTACATCTTTATACAGTTGTGGAATGTTGTCATTGTTACCCATTCTACAGATCCTCACATGGGCTCCCCTTTTTTACCATGTCACTGTATGAACATCTGTGTCAACGCTGATGGTGGAATTGTGTGACTCTGAATATAGCTGTCAGCACCTAATGTGTAGTGACGGCTTGGTAGTAATAAATGGCTGTGGCTTGAGCTGCTGAAGGCAGATGGCACCAGTTTCTGATAAGGTTGAATGTAAGGGATGCGGAAAAGCTCTCTGATCAAGAACTCCAAGTAGCAACTGGAAAGTTGAGTCCGGAGAAGCTACATTAGTTTGGGGAGCTGTGAGATGACTTAGTGGTCAGGTTGCTTCTACAGTCCTAGGTGACCTGAACTCAGTTTCTGTCCCCACGTGGTGGAAGGAGAAAGCCAACTCATGCCAGTTTGTACAGTGCATGTGCGTATGCACATAACGATGCTGAGAGGGTGAAAAGAGACTAGCAGTTAGGCTTAGTGGCTTACGATATAATCCCAATGTGTAGGATCCTGAGTCAGCAGGATTGTTGTGAATTCATGGCCACACTGGGCTACATAATGATTTCCAGCAAGCCTAGGCTGCATCTTAGTAAAACCATGTCTCAAAAAGCAAAAAGCCAGCCATGTGGCACACATCTATAATCACAGCATTCAGGAGGCAGAAGCAGGAAGATCACCACAAGTTGAAGTCCATTCTGATCTACATAGTAAGTTCCAGGCCAGCCAGAGCAACAATGTGAAACCCTGTCTCAAAAACAAAACAAAATATATGAGATTAGGAAGTAAAGCAGCTAAGCATTCCCTCTTAAGATGTGGCAGTTCCTAGAAGGGGAGAAAGAATGGTGGCCGAGGTGGTCAGTGGGAGCGGCAAAGGCCCACATTTGTGTGAGCCTGCAGCCCCAGTCAAGACTCTGAAGGCTGATGTGTTTTGGTTTTCTTCTTCAGGCTTGGTGAATAATGTGGTGTTTACCAGTCACACGATGGAGCAGAGGCACCCTCTCCTTGTTCAGCTGCAGACCCTCATCAGGGCTGCCAACCCTAGTGCAGCCTTCATTCTTGCCGAAAATGGGATGGTTACAAGGTAAACTTGTGCAGACTCCGCTCGTGTGCCCAGCCTCTTTCCCAGGTTCCCCACTGGCTGGCTCCCTGGGTCCTCCCGCTGTGTCTCAGACACATGTGGTGGAAGGAAAGAACTGATTACTGCAAGGTGTCCTCTCACCTCCACATGCATGCTGTGATGCACGCGCACACACACACACACACAATAATAATAATAATAATAACTGCTACTTTTTTTAATGTGTGTAGGTGTTTTGCCTGTGGGTATGTCTGTATACCACATGCATGCCTGGTGCCCACAGGGTCCAGAAGAGAGTGTCAGATCCCCTGGAACTGGAGTTACTGATACTGTGACCTACCTTTTGGGTGCTGGGAATTAAACCAGGGTCCTCTGGAAGAACAGCTAGTCCTCTTAACTGCAATGCCACCTCTCTGGCCCTGTAAAATGCCGTTTTTGTTTGATATGGGGTCCCACTTTGCATCTCTGGCTTGCTTAGAACTCAGAGAGACCCACCTAGCTCTGTTTACTAGGCTCTGGGGTTAAAGTCAACCACCACACCTTTCTTAAATAAAGTCATCAAGAGGACCCCATTTATCACTATCCTATAATGTTTTGAGACATTTTGTTACTTTGTTTTGACAGATTCTTTCTCACACTTTGAAAAATAGAAGTCAGGACTGTCGTCAAGGGTCCATGTGTTAAGATGAGAGAGATGGCATAGAGAATAGAGAAAATGCTCACTTTACTTCATGGTCTTGGTCCAGACTGCAAACTAATAACAGAGAATTTGTAAAAGAGCAAAGTGCTCATTATGTAATGATTTGATTTGCCCTGCTGCAGACTCAAAGGAACACAGTATTTTATTTTATATAGTTTCAGTTTTTTAAACCATGTAAATATCTTCTGTATTTAAAAAAAAAATTGCTGGACATGATGTGCATTCTGAATCCCCAACATTGGGAAGCCAAGATGAGTTCAAGTTCAAACCAATCTGGGCTACATACCTAGAACCTTGTCTTAAAAACAAAAACCATCTGGGTGGTGGTGGCTCACACCTTTGATCAAGCACTCGGGAGGCAGAGGCAAGCGGATCTCTGTGAGTTTGAGGCCAGCCTGGTCTACAAAGAGAGTTTCAGGACAGCCAAGACTGTTAAACAGAGAAATCCTGTCTCAAAAAACAAAACAAAACAAACAAACAAAATACATAGACACACACACAAAAAAACAAAACCAGCTGAGGGGCAGACAAGATGGCTCAGTAGGAGGAGTACTTGCCACCAAGCAGGAGAGTCTGAGTTTGATCCCTGGAGTCCACATGGTAAATGAGCCTCCTACAGCTGTTCTCTGACGTCGTCTACACACATACCGTGGCCTCACATATACACAATACCTTTAAATAGCACTGGGGAAGTGCATCTCTGTGGGCATGTGTGTGGAGCCAGAGGTCAACTTCACATGTACATTCACAAAAAATAAATGTAAAAAAAAAATACTGTTTTGTCATCCAGGGAAATCGTTCAGTCAGTAAAGCATTTGCTGTATGACCATGAGGCCCTCGGGTTGGTCCTCAGCACCCGTATAAAAGGCTGGGTGTAGTGGCCCACGCTTGTTAGCAGGTGCAGCACCCTACATCCAGTCCCTGCTTACACACACCGATCTAAATGGAGGGCTGGAGACACTACTGTGTACCATGTGCTTGCCTGCTGCCTTGGAAGGTCAGAGCAGGGCATCAAACCCCCTGGAACAAAAACTATGGATGACTGTAAGCCACCATGGGATCCAGGAATCAAGCTCTGGTCCTCTGCAAGAACAGCAGGTGCTGGGAATCAACTCTCCAGCCCCGCCCCCACCTTTACATTCTTAAGATCTGGCAGGCACTGTGCTGACCAAATGATTAAACAGCAAAAACGGTAATGGGACACTCTGATAGCATGCACCTCTCTGCTGTGAGCCAATGAAGACAACATCCATCACCTAGGTACTGATCGACGTCACCAGATCAACCAGGCTTGGCAGTACATGTCTGTAATCCCAGCCCTTGAGAAAGCAGAGGTAAAAGTTTCTGATTCAGTGAGTCCTGGGTAGGACCTGAAATTCTGCCTTTAAACACTGCTGATCGTCGTACCTTATTCCTCAGGTGTAATAGTATACTGTGAGGCGGGCGGTGGTGGAGCACACCTTTCATCCCATCTGAGGCGGGTGAATCTCTGAGTTCGAGGCCAGCATGGTTTACAGAGTGAGTTCCAGGACAGGCTTCAAAGCTACACAGAGAAACCCTGTCTCAAAAAAAAAAATAAAATAATAAAATAAAATTATATTATGGTCCTGTAAGAGAAAGTTTTGTTTTGTTTTGTTTTGTTTTTGTTTTGTTTTTTGGGCAGTTTTTGTTTTGTTTGTTGAGAGACAGGGTCTCTATGTAGCGCTAAATGGTCTGAAACTCACTATATAGACCAAACTCACAGAAATCTGTCTGTCTCTGCCTATGAGAAACTATTCTTAGAAGATACATATTGAAGTATTTAGAAATGAACTGTTACACATACAACCAATATTCATATTCTTTGTCAAGAAAAAAAAATGCATGCATGTGTGGGGAGGTTAACATTGACAATCCTAATTAACCTGGGTCTTCTCTGCCTCTCTGTGTTTTTATAGGAATGAAGACATTGAACTGATTCTCTCAGAAAACAGTTTTTCAAGTCCCCAGATGCTACGTTCTCGATACTTAATGTTTCCGGGCTGGCAAGTATCATTACTGAATAATAGCTTGAAAAGGAAATGTGAGCCACATCTACAGCGAAGAAAGAGCAGAAATGACCATACCATATATGATTCACAAGAGTCATATGTGTTGATTGGGATAAACTGCCCTGCCCTGATAGCCTTGCCAAGGACCAGGGCTCCACATTCTGAGCCTCTCTGAACATTGCGATTCAGGGGTCATCCTGCAGGCACCAAGTACAGTGGTTCTTGGTGACACAGCACTAAGGCTTAGATTCCCCAGGTAAAAATCTCAGAGTACATAGTCAGCCATCCAGAGTACGTAGTCAGCTGTCTAGAATAGGTAGGCTTCTGCTAACGAGATCCATGGACCATTCTCTGCAGCCATCTCCCAGTTCAAGAACCTCTCCAAAAGGAGGAGAAAAGATCTGCCAAGTCCACCATAATCTTACTCTGATACCGTCATCACCTGAGCTAGCCCTGGGGCTAGGCATTGTTCTAAGACACAGCTTCTGAGTATAATGTTAATATAAATTAATAAAACTCAAAGTTTAGAGTTAACTGTGGCTGCCTGTGCCTGTCAGCCACAGTACTGCAATGCAGAGCCAGCACACCCAGGATGGCAGGAAGCTCTGCTGAGCAGTGCTGCTTCAGAACCTTGCCTCTCTTGGATTTTTTATTTCATATCAGCATAACACATCATAAATGCCACCATTCTTCACATTTACAGATGACAGAGGCAGAAGTCCAGTGACGTGTCCAAGCTAGTGACTGAAAGAGCTGGATTTCAGACCCAGATTGTCCGAGTCCAGAGCCCACTTTCAAGACAGCCCCGCATCCCCACTACCTTTCCCTGCTCTGCTCCTGCCTTCATCTCCCAAGTGCTGGGTTACAGGCTGGCCCACTGTGCCAGGCTGCTGCTTGTTGTTGTTGTTTTAAGACAGGATCTCACTGTGTACCTAGGCTGGCCTTGAACTCACAATCTTCTTGTTTCAGCCTCCTGAGTGCCAGAATTAAGGCCTGAGCTACCATATCTAGCTCTAAGCCCCTTCCTTCCTTCCTTCCTTCCTTCCTTCCTTCCTTCCTTCCTTCCTTCCTTCCTTCCTTCCTTCCCTCCCTCCCTCCCTCCCTCCCTCCTTCCCTCCTTCTCTCCCTCCCTCCCTCTTTCTGTGTATGTGTGCATGTGCATTTGACTGTGTGTGAGCGTGTGGAAACCAGCAGTCAATTTCAGGTCTCTTCCCCTGTCCCTCTCTGTGTTTTGAGACAATGTCTTTCTGAACCTAGAGCTGATGTTTGGCTACATCAGCTGGCCAGCAAGCCCTTAGAATCTACCTATCTTCTCCCCAGCACTGGGGCTGCAGGCGCATGCCAACACATCTGGTTCACATGCATGCTGGTGATCTAAACATGTGTTCTTACACTTATGTGGCAAGCACTTTACACAGTGAGCAATTTCTCTCACCCCAGAACCAATTTTCTGGAGTCCTGGAAGCATGTATCCCTACATTCAATGATTACTTCCTTTCTGTAGGTTTAGAAGAAAAGTTTACTAGAAGACATTATTCACACTTAGCCAGAATTAACCTGACTTTTTCCAGACACCTTAGTCATCCTCCACACAATCCCTTCTACCACTGATTATTTATATCAGTTTAAAAACTGATTGCACAGCCGGGCGGTGGTGGCGCACGCCTTTAATCCCAGCACTCGGGAGGCAGAGCCAGGCGGATCGCTGTGAGTTCGAGGCCAGCCTGGGCTACCAAGTGAGCTCCAGGAAAGGCGCAAAACTACGCAGAGAAACCCTGTCTCGAAAAACAAAAACAAAACAAAACAAAAAAAAAACTGATTGCACTATGCTATAAAAGCAAAACAAAATGACTTAAAAAACTCAGTTTAGGGTCTGGGTTTGGTTGCTTGCCCAAGTCTGTAATCCTAGCATTTCAGAGACTGAGGTAGGAGAATCACTCTGAGTTCTAAGCCAGAAAGACCCTGTCTCAAAATACATATAACCTCAGGTTGATGTGTAAAAATTAGAGGTTTTCAGCTATATTCTTAGAAGAAAGCTCTGATCATACTTCCTTAAATGGTGGGTGTGTCCTTGTGTTTAAACAAAATAATTATGTCTTAGCTAAAAAGAAGCAAGTAGTAGGGGCTGGGGCGCAGCTCAGCTGGTCGAGTTTTGCCTAGCATACTGAAGCGCTGTGTTCTAGCCCCAGGACCACCAAGGCCGGATGTGGTGTGTTTGCCTATGATCTATGAAGGAGGATCAGAGCCTCAAGGTCTTCCTCAGCTCCGTATCAAGTTTAAGGCCAGCCTATACTACATGAGATCCTGTTTTAAAAAGAAAATTAAATAAAGAAAAATTGTAAATTAAAGAAAGAAAGAAGCTGAGTGATAGTGGCACTCACCTTTAATCCCAGCACTCGGGAGGCAGAGGCAGGCGGATCTCTGTGAGTTTGTGGCCAGCCTGGGCTACAGAGGAGTTCCAGGACAGCCAAGACTACACAGAGAAACCCTGCCTCAAAAAAACAACCAAAAGAAAAGAGAGAGAGAAAAAAAGAAACAGCAGGCAGGATGGCGAAGTTTGAACCCCAGCCCTTGGGAGCCACCTTCATGCCTTCCCTTTTGTCTTCACACTGAGGGACTGGGACATGTCGCCTCTTCACAGGATGACAGTTCTGCTCTTCCTTCCTTCCCACCTGGGCCAGGTTCAGCCGCAGAATGAGCTGGCTCTGATTTAAGGACGTCATGGCAGAGCTTAGCCATCTCCCTCCTTATCCCTCTGTTCTTACCAACTCCACTTCCACCTTCCCTAGTGGAATCATTTCTTCTTAGTCTGGAAAGAAATGCTGCTTTTCCCCGTGTCCCTACAAATTCCCAGATAGATTCAAATATCAGAGAAGCCCATAGTCTTCAAATAACTATTTTACATAGAGAGGGGACACGTTCACTGTGCAAATGCATCAACGTATAACTTTAAAGAAACTTCAAGAATGAAATACTTCTGGCTATAAACTCAAAATTGTAGCACTAGACAGTGTGATAGCACATGCCTGTGATTGGAGCCTGCAGGAAACTGATGCAGGTGGATGGGGAGTTTGACTAAGCCAGCCTGTACTAGATAGAAATACTGTCTCCAAAATTCAAAAACAATAGAATAAAGGAAATGAATATAAAAATACAACAGACTAGAAGACCTAGCAAGGGCTAATGTGGCAGTTGGGAAGCATAATTACATACTTAAGGAAAGGCTGGGCTGTTGAGATGGGTCAGCCACCAAGCCAGTGACCGTCGTGGAGAAGGAGAGAAACCACCCCACAAGTTGTCCTCTGACCTTTATATCCATACATGCTATGTACCTCCCCCATACATTCACAAAGCAAATGATATTTTTACTTTTAAAGAGAAGTCTAAGCAAGTTGGTGTTTGTGCATGCTTTTAATCCCAGCACTTGGAAGGCAGAGGCAGGTGAATCTCTGAGTTTGAGGCCATCCTGGTCTACAGAGCTAGTTCTAGGACAGCCAAGGCTACACAAAGAAACCCTGTCTCAAAAACCAAAAAAAGGAAAAATAAGAAAAGTCGAGCCTGGTGGTGGTGGCACACGTCTTTAATCCCAACACTTGGGAGGCAGAGCCAGGTGGATCTCTGTGAGTTCAAGGCCAGCCTGAGCTACAGAGCGAGATCCAGGAAAGGCGCAAAGCTACACAGAGAAACCCTGTCTCGAAAAAAAAAAAAAAAAAAAGTCTAGGGAGCTGGAGAGATGGCTCAACAGTTAAGAGTACTTGCTTCTCTTGAAGAGAACCCTGTTTCGATTCCCAGCACTGATATGGTGCAGTTCAAAGCTCTCTGTAAACTCCAGTTCCAGAGTGCATATGATACAAATACACATTCAGGCAAAATACATATACATATAGAATAAAAATAAATCTTTTTTTAAAAAAAACAATGAAAGAGAAAAACCTATTCCAAGTAAGGCATGGTGGCACACTGTTATCCCAGCAATCAGAAGTAGAGGCAGGAGGATTAGGAGCTCAGGATTATCCTTGGTTACATGGTAAGTTCCAGTTCACTCTCATGGGCTACATGAAACCCTGTCTCAAAAAACTTTACAAGGAGACAGAGCACAGTGGTGAGAGCCTGTGATCTCAGTACTGAGAGGCAGAGACAGGTGGATCTCTAAGTTAGAGACCAGCCTGATTTACACAGCAATCTGCAGGACAGCCAAGGCTGTTTAGTGAAACCCTGACTGAAAAAACAAACTTTTTAAAGGGCTAGCAAAATGGCTCAGTGGTTAAAGAAGCTTGCCACCAAGCCCTGTGGCCTGAGTTCAATCCCTGAGTCCCTCACAGTGGAAGAAGAAAAACAACTCCTGCAAGCTGTCCTCTGACCTCCATGTGTGCACTGTGGCAAGTGCACGTGCGCACGAACACGCGCGCGCGCGCACACACACACACACACACACACACACACACACACACAAAATTAATGCTCTGAGTTTAGCCCTGTTCTTAATGGGTCTGTGACAAGCAGTGTGACTGCTGAGCTGAAAATCTAAGAAATAGAAACACATCAGTGGCACCCCATCTCCTTAGTCCCTTCCAGAGAACCACTGTGAGATGGGCTTGTTTGGGGTGTTGAAAGTAATCCAGCTGGTTTGGAAGCTGAAGCAGGTGACTCTCCAGTCGAAAGCTGGAAATGGGGTAGGAGTGGCTCCTGCTGGGTTTGGAAGGACTCCCGGTGTGAGTGGGTCTGAGGGAGTTCTCAGGAAGGGCTTGCTCCAAGGAGCCAGAATGCTTTCCAGTCTCACAGTAAAGCAGAGGTATACACACTGGAAACTGCTTTAGCCGAACAGTGGTGGCACACGCCTTTAATCCCAGCACTCAGGAGGCAGAGGCAGGAGGATCTCTGAGTTAGAAGCCAACCTGGTCTACAGAGCTAGAGTTCCAGGACAGCCAGGGCTACACAGAGAAAAACAAACAAAGCAATCAGTCTCTAGCACCATATAAACTAGGTGTGGTGTCCATGCTTTTAGTCACTGAATTAAGGAATGGATGCCAAGAGGATCAGAAATTTAAGGTCATCCTTGGTTACATAGCAAATTTGAGACCAACCTAGTATAGATAAGACCCTAGCTCATGTAGAAAAAAAGAAAAATATACTGTAAACAAAATCGTGTATTAGTGAGAGAGGATTAAACAAATGATGGACAGTTCATCCCAAGATAGACTATATAACAGTGAACCCCCAAACACTGAATGGATGAGATAGGGCAAAGGGGACTACAGCTTATTGTATATATACATGAATCTGTCAAAGAATTAAAAAAAAATGCTTGTTCTCACATTTTAAAAAATACTTTTAGGTATGAAGGTAAATTTGATTCCGGATCCGTCTTTCCACTAATGGTTCAGATCTGCGTGTGGTTTGACCGACCTCTAGAGAAAACCCGCTTTGTGACCAAGTGTAAAGGTGAGCCAGGCTAGGACATGGTTCACCCCAATGAAAGGGTTGCCCCTCCCCTGTGGCCCCATTTCAGTCACTATCCATGGTGTCTTCTCCATACTGTCAGGATCAAAAGCAGGTAGGGGTTTGATGGGCTCAGCGTCCCCAGTTCTGACTATGTGTGGCCACACTTTGATCACTCCGAGGGAATAGTGGCAGAGGCCCCGGGCAGGAGGAGATGGAGATGGCAGCTCTGAACCTTGAGCCCTTCTCCTGACCCTGACCTGTCCTTCTATGTTGGCCTAAGCTTGGCCTCTGCATCCAGGTAGCTGACATTCTATCCTTTTCCTCCACCAGCAATTCAGTCTTCCATCAAGCCAAGTCCCTTCTCTGGAAATATCTACCACATCCTTGGCAAAGTGAAGTTTTCAGGTGAGTCTTGGTAGCTTGGGCACTCATGGCTTGTGGTGTGAGCTCATGGCTTCTCGGCACTACTCTGCTCTGAGAACCAACTGGCCCAGGCCTCTCTTCCACAGTGGAGAATCTGCCCTCCACCCTTGGGCTGCTGTCCACATCTCCTTGATTGCCACATTCTCAAGACCTCCACCCGTACCCTTGAGTCATCCATGGCCTCTTCCTAGCCCTCCTCCCAGACCTGACAGAACCAGAGCTCCCAGTCGGGTCAGAGTCTTAGAACTCTGCATTCTCTTCCCTTTTGTTTAGTAAGCCTTAGCCCCCCTGGAACCCTTATAACCCCGTTGATTTTCTGAGGACGGAGGTCAGAAAGGACCTCAAACATATCAGCTCACTGTTGAGGAAGAGGAGCAAATGCCAAGGAAAAAGAGCAGCATTTGTCGAAGTCCAGAGGCAGAAAAGAAGAACCACAGCAGTTTATTACAGCTGAAGGGATGAAGGGATTCTGCTGGCTGTCTTTAAATCTTGGAGCCGGGAACTCCAGTGAGCAGTATATTGCTCTTCCACAAGAGTCAGAAGATTGGGCTATAGGACAAGGCCACTGGAGCCCAGCTAATGTGTGTCCATGCTTTCTTCCATTCTTTTATAAATGTGTTCTATTTACGTTGATGGATGGTTTGCCAGCATGTATGTGTGTACCACATGTGTGCCTGGTGCCCATTTGATCCCCTGCACTTGGAATTACAGGTGGTGTGAGCCACTGTGTGGGTGCTGAGACTCAAACCCAGGTTCTCCAGAAGAGCATCAGCCACCTCCCCAGCCTCCTTCCTCAGGCTGCTGCCCCTCAGGCTGCTGGGTGGTGCTTAGTCCTGGGTGTCACAGCCAGACACTGCATTCAGCCCTGGGGGAGGGGGTGTTGCTGCTTTCCTGGGCTTTCCAGTCAGTGCAGCTGCCTCTCCTACAGCCTTGCAGACGCCATGGAATGGCCAGCTTATCCTGCCTACAAGCCTCTTCTTCCTCCTGTGTTCCTCTGCCCCGTTAACAGTGTGTCTCATCGCCCACACCAACCAAGCCATAACTCCTACTTGATCCTTTCCAACTTGCCACTACCCCTCATGTTAGTTCTAGGAATCTGTCAACCTGCCAACACGGTTACAGTGTAGCAGTCTTTTGGGATTTGGTCTCAGGGACAAATGTGTTCTCTGTGCAGATTCTGAGAAGACCATGGAGGTCTGCCACAACACTTTGACCAATTCCCTGAGCATTATGCCGGTTTTGGAGGGACCCACTCCACCCCCCAACTCAAGAAGCACACCTCAAGACAGTGGGCAGCCAGAATGCTACCTTGTGTTCATTGGCTGCTCCCTGAAGGAAGACAGCCTCAAAGACTGGCTACGACAGTCAGCTAAGCAGGTGACTCACAAAACCAACATAGCTGAACCCAGATACATGTGACCTGCACACTCCATTGACCCTGGCCTCTTCCTCTCTGACACCCACTGGTCTATACTGCATAGGGACGTTTGGGGATTAAGAAGCAGCCTGTGGGGCGAACTCCAGGCAGATGTGGCAGTACTGTGCTTTGTGTTTAGGGTATTTTTTTATTTGTTTTTCTGAACAGGGTCTCTGTAACCCTGGCTATCCTAGAACTATGTAGACCAGACTGGCCTTGAACTCACAGAGATCCTCCTGCCTCTGGAGTGCTGAGATTAAAGGCCTGGCCCTGTGTATTTTTGATTTTATTTTATGCATATGGGTGTTTTGCTTGCATATATGTCTGCACCACATGCATGCTTGGTGCCTGTGGAGGCCAGAAGAGGTCAGGTCCCCTAGAACTGGAGATACAGGTGACTGTGGGTGCTGGAGTCAACCCCAGGTCCCCCGGAAGAACGTGCTCGGTGCTGCTGAGCATCCTGCAGCCCAGAAGCTGTGGTGCTAAGTGCAGACAGTCTCTGGCTTGCCTCGTCCTGGAACTCCAGGAGGAGAGCTGCCGGGTCCTGGGTCTTGTCCATTGACGGCAGTCTTCAAGAAGCTGTGAGCTGCCTCATGTGGGAAATTCTTGTTTTGGATTTTGTTTTTGTTTGAAGGAGGTGTTTTTTAGGAGGTTGGGTGTTTTGACTGAGGTGGTTCGGTGGAATCTCACTGTGTAGGCCAGGCTGGCTTCAAATTTTTGATCCTCCTGCGTTAAACCTCCCAAGTGCAGGGATTACAGGTGTGTGTCACCACTCCCTGCTTTGGATAAGGTTTTAAATGTTACTAGACTGTGAAACCTCAGGCTTCCATTATCTGTCGTTGTGGCTTAAGCATAAGAATCTGGCAAAAGAGCCAGGTGGTGGCGAATGCCTTTAATCCCAGCACTCAGGAGGCAGAGGCAGGCGGAACTCTGAGTTTTGGGCCAGCCTGGAATACAGAGTGAGTTCCAGGAAAGGCACAAAGCTACGCAGAGAAACCCTGTCTCAAAAAAAAAAAAAAAAAAAAAAAGACCCTGCCAAGAGGCAGGCTTGTGCCCATTTGCAAAGCACTGGGCTCTCCTACCGTTTGTTTCCAGCTGTCCTGCAGGGCTCTGTGGTGGGAAAGAAGTTTCCTCAGGGGAGTAGACAAGACAGCATGTCCACGAAAGCTGGTTCATATGCTCTTCCCTCTTCTGGGATCTTTGACATGTAACCTGCCCCCAAATTCCTTTGAGCCTTTAGCTACCCTGGTGCTCCCTCAGCTCTGTTGAAATGTATGTTTTCTCTACATCTGCATAGAAGCCTCAGAGGAAAGCTCTGAAAACCAGGGGAATGCTGACCCAGCAGGAGATCAAGAACATCCACGTGAGTGGCCTGCCCTAGCTTCCCTCCCTGGCTGTCCTCGATCTGTAGTGCTGTCTTGGGTTCCTAGGCTAAGGGACTATTTGTGGGATGTCCTGGCATTCTTGCTTCTCTCAGGACACAGAGGGAAGCTGGTCAAGAAGCTAACCCTGTAGATTCAGTAAATGAAGTGGCCACGTGTGCTGTGACCTGTCGATGAGATGGAAGAGATCTTGTACCTGTAAGAGGACTGGATAATGGGAGGCCTGGCCTTCTCACCCTGCCCTTCTCACCCTGCCCAAGTAGTTCTACAAGATCTCTGCTTAAGACATATCACACAGCGGGCTGGAGAGATGGCTCAGGGGCTAAGAGCACTAGCTGTTCATTCAGAGGACCTGAGTTCAAGTCCCAGCACCCACATGGCAGCTCACAACTGTCTGTAACTCCAGTTCTAGGGGACCTGACACCTTCACACCAATGCACATAAGATAAACTTAAATAATTTTTTTAAAAAAAGATATATCACACAGAAGCCAGCTGAGGCTCAGAAGAAAGCCGTGTAGACAGCTGTTCATGGGAAGGCTATGGGATCCTAAGGTCAAAATGAGATTTCCTGGGTGAGCGTTACTCATAGCAGACTGACCCCTAAGCCTCTTCCTCAGGCCCCATAATAGGCTATCACTAGTCCCAGTGTTTGTGCATCATACCAGGTGCCTGTAGAAGCCAGAAGAGGGTGTCAGATCCCTGAACTGGAGTTACAGATGGTTGTGAACTACCTACCATGTGGGTGCTTGGAACTGAACCTGGATCCTCAGAAAGAACAGCTGGTACTCTAAACTACTGAGCTACCTATGCAGTTAGTTAGCTGGCCTGGAACTCACTATGTAGACCAGGCTAGCCTCAAACTCCTAGAGATCCACATACCTGTGCTTTCAGGGTGCTTAGATTAAAGGTGTGGGCCACCATGCCCAGCTCTGTTTATTTGTTTTGAATGAGTAAATGATAAAAAGTTGTCAGATAATTCAACAGGATTCTTTTCCAACAGGTGAAACGCCACCTGGATCCCCTTCCTGCAGGCTACTTTTACAATGGCACCCAGTTTGTTAACTTCTTTGGGGACAAGACCGATTTTCACCCACGTATCCTTGGAAACAGTTTTGTCCCGGTGTGAAAATCTGGGGGATGCAAGCCTCTCCCGTAAAGTGGGCATCCTCTAGGGCCGGCATGGCCAAGCCCTAGGTGTGGCAGGGTCTGTAGACTGGGGGTCGCAGGGACAAGCCCACAGGCACCGTCCGTGCTGTCCTTTCAAAGTTGTTGGCCTTAGGTCTGCCCTTTATCGAGCGGTTGCACTGTCACACTCCATGAAGTGGGGTTGGAAGGCAGCTTTGGTAACACCAGGGTCATGACATACAAAATGAAGATGGCCTGTTACAGCAGTCCATGTGTGAAGAGATGGACAGGATGAAATGCAAGACTAGCGAGCTTCAGTGTGCCGATAAAACCCAAGAGCTTGGTTCTAGCCCTTGATGATGCCTGTTACCCTCGTTGTAGCTGGGATGCTCTGTGTTAGATACTCTGGTTCCCTATGCCTCACCTGCCGCCAGGTCCCCCTAGGAGAAGTGCTTCTTCCTGTCTTCCAGGCTCACCTGTCTGCATAGCTCACCTCCTTAACCAGGTACCAGTCATGGACCAGTTCATGAATGATTATGTGGAAGAGGCCAACCGGGAGATCGAGAGGTACAACCGCGAGCTGGAGCAGCAGGAATACCGTGACCTCTTTGAACAGAAGCCCTAAAGAAAGCTGGGCCTGTGCCCACCAGAGATGAATGAATGAATGGGTGTCCATCTTTCCCGAGGCCCCTCCTGAAGGGGCCGTCTCTGTCCTCCCTGGCCTGTGCCAGCCATAGTACATGTTGTCTTTGTTCTCTCTTCTCTGCGTCCTGAAAGGCATTGTGTGTACCACTGAGGGGGGCTGTGCACAGGAGGAGCAGCTAGCGCTGACTGCCCTGTGGTCCAGCAGCTCCGGGTGTCTGATAAGAATCTCCCTTGGACTGCTGAGCACCATGGGAGGCTGAGGAGAAGGAAGCCTTTGGCTTGCACAGTAGATCTGCTGGGATTCAAAGGACCTCTGGTTGCCTAAGCAGTGGCCAGGCAGAGATCCACAATGCTTTCTGGATGAGAGTGCTTTTGTGGGATGAATGGAAGCAAGATCTGATGCTTTCTGAGTTAATAGCAGCATTCCCATGGGCCTGGTCCTAGAGCTCCCCGGTAGCATCACTTCGGTCTCTAATTCAGAGACAAGAGCAGGCCTGCTGCCCCAGCCCTGGCAGTGCCTCACCTCCCGGTCAAGGTGAATATCCTGCAACTGGTTGTCTTGGGCCCAAGGTCTAATCATTTGGGGGAAGGCTGTTGGTCTCTGACACCCAGCCTCCTCACCCCCGTCATGGAAGGCAATACATTTCAGAAAACCTCCCCTGAAACTGTCCCTGGATTTGTTTAGTTGTTTCCTAAGAAGCAGGAGTTTCAAGAATTCAGATGTCTAAATTAGAATCCCCTCCAGTGGTTTGTTTTGTTTTTAAGATTGGACCATACAGCAGAGGTAAACTAATTTGCATCCCAAGACTGACCTTCCCAAGGTCACTAAAGGTGATGTCTACTAGGACTTGAGGGCCTCTGCTGCTTGGGCTATACGTGTTTTCTGAGTTTCATGGATTTTTTGCATGCCTTAGGAAGAAGCACATAGGTAAAGCCAGCATCGTGTTCTGTAATGTAGAGAGGCTTTTGAGGAAGGGCCCTGGCACCGTGGGTGGATGGAGCACATGGGGTCAGGTGCCTGGTAACGGAGCTCTTTGTGCAAAAAGCAAAGTAATAATCAAGGCTTGTCAATAAAGTATACTTGTATTATGAAAAAAATTGAAGCCAAACAAAGCAAATTACAAGTATCATTGGATAAAAAACCTTGCATTAAGAAAAGCTCGCGAGAAAGGCACATGCGCTCCAATCCCAGCTCCAAAACACACTGGTGACAGGGCCCTCCTGCTGAGCTCCAGTCCGGAAGTCCCTGACTTCTGCCTGGGGTTCAGTAGCATAGATCTTAAGTGCAATTGACTAATAAGCAATGAGTTACTATAGCTCCCTTTATCTTCACCAAGCTCTTTTTAAAAACTAAAATTTGAGCTAGCAGCCTTATAAAGGGAAAGGGGGAACCACAAAGCTATTTCATTTCCTTTGGGGGGCGGGGGGAACCACAGGCCATTTCATTTCCTGCAGGGTTACTGTGAAGTTTTCAGTGGAAGCTCTAGATCAAGAGCTCTGGCTGCTCTGGCCTGGCAGTCTGGCTGCTGCGCAAAAGCGTTTTTAAAGAGGGGTTGGGGCCACACTATGTGGTGAACTTGGTTTCTGACCATTGTCCATAGAAATGTGCTTTCACCAGCCTGCCCCACTGCCCCATTCCCCTTAAGAGGGAAAACTGATTACCTCAACTTGAATATAAAACTGTGGTTTTGAAGAAAAGGTAGAACATTCAGAAGTTCTTTGCCCCCAGAAGGCAAAGCTAGCTGAAGCCTCCATAGATATTCCCCAGCCTACTGGGAGTCTGGAGGGCCCAGCAACCACACACTGTGAGTTCTTTGAGGACCAGCAGGGGACCATGCTTCTCCTGCGCTGCTCCCACAGCCTGCCGTCTCTTGACTTTGACTGTGGAATTCAGCATCCCTTGAGTCCTTTGGGTCCAAGAGTGTGCTCTGAGGCTGTCTCCAGAGGAGAGCCATGACACTGCTTCAGCCTCTGGTCTTGGACATGAATAGGAATCAGGGAGCCAGCAGGGATTGTAGGGATCGGTTTCCGGGACAGGCAGAACCCTCCAGGGGCTTACATGCATTCTGCCCGCATTCCTGTCAGCAGCTTCCGTTTGGATCACCGGCGTGAGTGTGCGAGTGGTGAGGTCACTGAAGTTATGGGTGGTTTTGTTTTAATGTGGGACTAACTTCCCCTTCTTGACCGGAGGGAGGAAGCAAAGATTGGAGGCAAGTTAGCCCCACCAAGCCCTCAGGCTTTTGACCTGAGGCCTGGGCACTAGCCCTGTAGGCTGTGATCAATACAAATGTCCCTCCAAATCCTGTTAGGATTTTGGAGAATTTTTGCACAGTAATAAGCTCTGGTTTCTCAAAAGGGAAGAGTTCAACTCAAAGACTGTAACTGTAAGTATTCCAGCCATGCTGCTGACTAGTTGGATAGCTGTACCTCAGAAAATTAGGTGGGAAGCGGCTTTCTCATTGTCCATGGTCGAATACTAATGGAAGAGCTCGCTTACGTGCCAAAATTCACTTTTATACTAGTTTTTCAATGCTTTAATATTTGTAACTTAAATTTTAAAATTCATATTTACAAACACTACTATAACTTCAGTGAAACTGAATTGTGTGATTGAAGCTTTTTGCTTATTATAGTATTTATTACACTACTTAATTCAGTAAATATATAAAAGTAGCCTTCAATTTATTTTTATATTATTTTACATGTTTTTATCTGCAGTTGTGTCTGTGAATTTCCCTTGGAGATTAAGATGTAACGCTAAGGACCAATAAACTCACTCAATAAGTTGCCTCTGTCTCTGCCTGTCCCCATGTCCCTGATAGGGCTTTGGAGGGTGGAGCCCTGGGAACTGGATGGAGACTTTCTCAGCCTGGCTGGGATGTTCCTGGCTAGGAACATCCCAACCTCACACTTGGAGGGTAAAACTCACATCACACAGTCACCCACCCTGGCTTACACACTTGAGGAGCCCCAGGAACTGGAGACCAGGTACACAAAACTGACTGTCCCAAAGAAAAGTGCCCACCCCCACCTCCCAAGTGCTCCCTGCCCACTCCTCTCCACCTCCCAGCCTTGTTTTTTTGCAGGGCTCAGGGTGGATCATGCTGGGCACATGGCTGCATCCCATCTACACCCCAGGCCCTCCACCCTCCTTTTTGCTGTTCTTTTCTCAACACTTATTTATTATGTAAACAGTATTCTGTCTGCATGTCTGCAGGCCAGAAGAGGGCACCAGATCTCATTACAGATGGTTATGAGTCACCCATCACCATGTGGTTGCTGGGAATTGAACTCAGGACCTTTGGGAGAGCAGCCAGTGCTCTTAACCGCTGAGCCATCTCTCCAGCCCTGTTCTTTTTTTTTTTTTTTTTTTTTTTTTAAATAGGATGTCATGTAGCCCAGGCCGGCCTCAAACTTGCTATGTAACAGAGGCTGGCCTAGAACTCCTTATTGTTCTGTTCTCATAAGTAGTAGGTTTATAGGCATGTGCCACCATGCTTATTCACCCAACCCCGACCACCTGGCAAAGCTGCAGTTGGAACAATGCCTTCACAAGTTGATCAACTCCCTTTACAAGCTCTGTGGGCTTGCCGCTCACTCCCACTTTCTGAATTCAAGCCCCTAAGTCACCACCAGGCAGAGTAACTGGCACAGCAGTAGGGACACTGGCTTCATCTCGGTGATTCTGCAAGACCTCCTGGAGTGGGGCCGTGGGAGCACAGACTAAAGAGCTTCCAAAGTTGGCCCAAGTACTGGCAGCACTAGAGGACCACACCATGAACTGGCATGGGGTTGGGATCACATGGCCCCGGCCCCCCATGGCTCCCATCTGCCCTCTCATCCCCAACCCCAAAGCTGAGCGGAGGGAAAAGGGCTGACCCTAGAGGGACAGCTCTCCGGGCAGTCTGCTCCATACAGCTCCTGCTTCCTGTCATACCCACAGGACCCAAGGCAAAAGGAAGTGCCCCATGGGCAGCTTTGGGAGATGGCCCAAAGAAGAGCTAAGGGCTGGCTTCCCAAAGCATTGCAGAGGGCTTGGGAGTTTAAACGCCTGCCACAGCACATGGAAAGTCTGGTAGAGGGGGAAAGGGTCACAGCAGGAACCCTGCCCCCAAGCCTCCTGCCTCACATCCTGCAGACTAGAGGCCCAAGTTCCAGGAAGATTGGGTGGGAAGGAATGTAAGTGTCAGGGCTTGATTCTAGGCCACCATTGCACATCTCCAGCAAGCTGCTTCAAAGCTTAACTATCAGTCAGATATACCTGAGTGATTTTCATAAACATTGTTTTCTGATAGTGTTTTCTAGTACAAGTTATTAGGAAAGGAGGGGGTTTTGTTTTTGTTTGTTTTTTCATTGTGCTGATGATTATAATGGTTTCTGACCCAGGAAAGGAAAACTTTAAAAACATTCTAAAGCTAGACAGGGTGGTACATGCCTGTAATCCAAGTAACAGGGCCAGAAGGGCAGGAGTTTGAGGTCAGCCTTGGCTATATGAGCTTTTGTCTTTACTACACTATGGCAGGAGTAGTTAGCTGGCCACACAAATCATTGCACAAGATGTTGTGTGCTTTCTATTTTTGTTTTTCAAGTGAGAGAACATCAAGTTGGGTGAATAGGAGGGGAAGGGAGGATCTGGGAAGAGTTGAGGAAGGGGAAAGAATGTAATAAAATACATTGTATGAAATTCTCAGAATGGCTTAGTCTAAGGACCTCCGTTTGGTCTCCAGAACTCAAGTTCTAAAATCTGGGCCAAAGAGGTGGCTCTTCGGCCATCTAGAGTATTAGGAAGAGATGGCTCCTATTCCAGAGAACCTGATCTCCAGTACCCACACAGCAGCTCTCAGCCATTTGTAACTCCAGTTCCAGGAGATCCAACACCTCCTTCTGGCCTCCACAAGCACCAGCCACACAAGTGACACACAGATACACATGCAGGCAAAACTCTCAAAGACATAAAAAATGAAAGAATTAAATCTAGGTGTAGTGGCATGTGCTTAGAACACCAGCGCTGGGAGATGGAACCAGCCCGTCAGCCAGCCTAGCCGACTTGGCAAGTTCCAGGAGCTAAGAGACTATCAGGGGCCTGGCAGGGAGGTGAATGGTACTGATGAACTTGACAGAGGAAGGCGGTCCCCTAGACTGTGTGGGATATTCTTTTACACTGTGAATGTACATCACTGTGATTGGTTTAATAAAGAAGCTGACTGGCCTAGAGCCAGGCAGAATAAGGTTAGGTAAGAGAGACAAACTGAGAGTGATGGGAAGAAGGGCAGAGCTGAGGCCTCTTGAACAGATAAGCAAGATGAGCATGCCGTACTGAGAGAAGGCACCAAGCCACCTGGCAAAGCGTAGATAAGAAATATGAATTAATTTAAATGTGAGTGTTACCTAGTAACAAGCCTGAGCTATTGGCCGAGGGTTTATAATTAATATTCAGCCTCCATGTCAGTTATTTGGGAACTGTTGGGCGGAAAAGAAACGTTCTCCAACAGGCCTGCGCACACATGCATGCACATGAGCACAGACAGGCACAGACACATCAAAAAATAATTTTCAGGCTAGGGTTGCAGCTTAGTTGATAAGAGTACTAGCCTAGCATGCAAGAAGTCCTGGGTCCCATGCTCAACACTGAATAAATAGGGCATAGTGGCACACACTTGTAATCCCAGCACTTGGGTGGCAGAGGAAGGTAGACCAGGACTTCAAGGTTATCCTCAGCAGCACCGACTTTAAAACCAATCTGGGCTATGTGAGACCCTGTCTCAAAACATAATAGTGAGGGCTGTTAGAGATGGTTCAGTGGTTAAGAGCACTTGTTGCTCTTGCAGAGGACCCAGGTTCAAATCCCAGCACCAACATGATGGCTCACAAGCATCTAACTCCAGTCCCAGGGGATCCAATGCTCTCTTCTCATTTCTACAGGCACCAGGCATCAACATGTTGCAGATACACATGTAGGCAAACACATGCAATAAATATAAAAATAATTGTTATTATTCTGCACATTAAAATGAGCCAGGCATGGTGGCACATGCCTTTAATTCCAGCACTTGGGAGGCACAAGTAAGTGGATCTCTGAGTTGAAGGCCAGTTTCAGCTGGATATTGAGTTCCTGCCCGCCAGGGTTTTACAGGCCTGTGTCAAACTTTACCACCACACCACAAATAGAGCAAAGGCCACCACTACTTGACTGTGTAGTTCCCTTGTACACCCAGTGCACCAGTGTCCTGGGGGAGCCTAATGGACAATCTTTTTCCCTTTAAAACAGACTTATCTGGGGGAGGCAGGGGCCTCTGCTGCTCCAGGTGGGGGGTGGTAACAAGTGTACCAAACGGAGCCATTTTGCAGGGACCGTTGATGACAAGACAGTGACCAGATAAAGCCAAGGGGATGACTTGAAGGTAAAAGTGGAAAAAGCCCAAATGGAAAAAAACACGATGTTCTGAAACAATGCCAGACATGTTTCATCCTCCAAAAATCTGAAGAAAAATAAATGTGTTGATCCACAAGTTATTCTCCTCTCCCTCTTCAAGGACTCTCTGAATTGCTAAACTGATCAGATCGGCCTAAAACAGATGGTGTGAGGCGCAGAGATTTTTATGTTTCATCCTAGTAAGTGGAAATCCGCAAAGGGAAAAGAACCAAGCTGACAGTCTGAGTGTGCGACCCCACAGTGACTGACTGCTGCTTTTCCTGTGTCAGTCAAGAAGCTGAAGTCTTTCCTTCTCATTGTTTCACGTTTTGAGAAATTGCATCTCTGAAGTTTCATGCCCGGGCGAATGTACAAATAATAGAGAAACAAGGACGACAGGAAAAAGGAAAGATGAATTGATAAGGCAGGCAGACTTTCCGTTTGAGACGAAACCTTCATGGAATTTTCTAGCTGAAAAGACTCATTTCCGGGGACTGGGGAGACAGACAGGTCAGCCGGTAATACGTTTGCTTTGCAAGCATGGGGACCCAGGTTCTCTCCAGAGCACCCACGTAAAAAAACAAATCTTATCTTGAACTGGTAACCCACTGTTGACTGGGAAGTGGAGGCAGCCAGATTCTGACCAGCCACTCTAGCTTAACTGGCGACCTCAGGTACCAATAAGAGACCTTTCTCAAAGGCAAGGTAGACAGCTCTTCAGTTTCAACAGGCAAGGTTGACCTCTGGCCTCTGTGCTTGTCCACTGTCCACATAAGTGCCTGTCTTTGTAAGTGCACAAACACACACACCCCCACACACACACCCCACACACACACATCTCCACTTTAACATTTTTGTTTCTGTTTAGTTTAGTTTTTGTTTGTTTTTCAAGACAGGGTTTCTCTGTGTAGCCCTGGCTGTCCTGGAACTCACTCTGTAGACCAGGCTGGCCTCGAACTCAGAGATCCACTTGCCTCTGCCTCCCTGAGTGCTGGGATTAAAGGCCTGTGCTACCATGCCTGGCCTACACTGTTTTTGAGAAAGGGCTTCACGTATTTCGGGATGGTGCCAGACTCTGTGTAGGTAAAGATGATCCTAAACTTACTTATCCTTCTGCCTCTGCCTCTGCCTCTGCCTGGGGTACAGCTGGCAAGCTGTACCTAAGTGGAAGTGGAGGAATCATTGGCTTGAAATACCACCAGGTATTACAGGTGTAGGCCAGAACTGGCTTCATCTTTGTTTAGACTCTTTCCTGAACAAGCCATTTAGACATGAAAGCCCAACATGAGACTGAATATGCATATAGGGAGACACTTGATGGGTGTTCAGAATATCAGTTCATCACGTATCTTTTATTCCCACGCTGTGCCCTTGAA